AGTATAAGTACGATGAATTTGTATGGGTAAACTAAGTCTTTGAAAATGTAATAAGAATTACGAAACGCGTTCAGGCGTCAGACCATAAATAAAAATGAATTTTGGAGAATTGATATTTCAATTACCATCGACAGTGAAGAGAAACATAAGAAATTTTGAGAAAATTCGTGTTAGAATTATTAAGCTTACCTTTTCGGTCATATTCAACAATACATATAATATTATATATATGAACACAGAATTGAATAAATATGCAAAAAGAGAGAAAATGTTGGGTTTCTTGTAGTATGTAAGTTTGAGGGTTATTCCGATGCGTCGAGGCGGAGACAAGAGCTTGAGCCTTCTCTTTCATGTCAAGTAAAACTTTTCTCAATTGATGCATTCCTTAATAGTCAACTTGAACTGTTTTTGACATCTTGCAAAGATTCTTCTGGTGGGTAAGCGAGAGAGAGAGAGAGAGAGAGAGAGAGAGAGAGAGAGACACAGCAAGAGAGAGAGAGAGATAATAAGTAGCATTACAACAAGAGCCTGACCACCACCACTGTCAATCACTGATCACTGGTCAAGAAGTGGACCACCACAGACACATGCAGGAGTCATTAAGGCCCACCATTACCTGGACGAACGGTGGGCAACCCGCCCTTAAAAACAAGCGAGGCGTGTGTCCATGTAGCTCTTACCTTAGTCAGTGTTGCAGCGGCTTTGTTGATAAATATGAATGATATGTCAACATCAAATACCAGGAGAGAGATTATTAGAAAACTTTGGCTCTCTGGAATGTACAAGGGAGAGGGAGAGGGAGAGGAGAAGGGGGGGAGAGAGAGAGAGGAGTGGGGGGAGTGGGTAGAGGAGAAGGGAAGAGAGGGTGGGGAATTGGGGAAAAGACAGGTGGGAAATGGGGAGTAGGTAGTGTGGGGGAGTGAGAAGAAAGAATGGGGAGGGGGGAGAGTGAGGAGGGTGAGGGATGGTGAGTGAGGGGGGAGGAATGAGAAGGGTGGGGGTATGGGGCAGGATATGGGGGGGTGGGGGCTGTAACGTGGAGGAAGGGGGAAGTGAACTGCCAGAGACTGTAAGGTCTGATTTCATGAGGAAGGGCTGCGGCCACTCACCTCTATAGCATCACCCTCATTGTCCTCATAAAATCCCTGAGCTTGTATTTCTGAAGTTTGATAACGGTCTTTAATTTAAAATATCTTTCTTTAACCTGTATTAACGTTAATTTTCATCTTGGTGGTTCTCTCAACATTGTATTTAAATTCAAAAGCTGTCCAATCAGGTTTGCACCCGATTTGAAATGAACCAATTGTAGAGGTCAATCGACCGACCAATCAGTGAAGATTAATTTGAAACCCGAAGGATGAATGGCATTGCCGGAATCCCACAGACAGTCTGCGCGCGACCGTCGAAGTGGACGGACGTGCTCCTGGCGGACGTGTTGAATATCTCTTGATTTTATCGCAAAGCAAACTAGCGCTCGAAATCAGAAAATACGGATGGAACCAGTGATTTGAATATATTAATACATCATGACCAACACGACCCGTTCTCCCACCTACTAACGTCACATTTTTTACGTAGTGGACCAATCCGAATTATTAAAAATTAAACGTAATACTGACGATATGCATCGGCTTCAGTGGTGACCGTTACGACGGTTGAGCAAGATGGCGGCGGCCCCCCGGTGCCCTTGCCCCAAGAGAAATCTTTCGAAGTGAGTTTATCGCCGCCCCATAGGATAGGAACGGCTTAGTGTTGATTCTCTGAAGATTCGTCGTCTCGAGGAACAGATGGAACTCATCCAGTAGCAGTGATTGTCTCTACGGAACATTCTGCGACACCGACTACGGAACAGTTCACCCAAATGGCGTGCTTAAGGAACTTCGGGAGTCTTGCATAGTTAAATGTTCCTTTAGCATTCAGTTAGGCTGAGTTTAGGCTAATAAAATGTTGAAAATCTATATGTAGTTTTGACTCTTGAGGTTATCTTAAGATGATTTCGGGGCTTAGCGTCCCCGCGGCCCGGTCCTCGACCAGGCCTCCTTTTGGTTACACCCCCCCCCCCTTAGGAAGCAGCCCGTAGCAGCTGTCTAACTCCCAGGTACCTATTCACTGCTAGGTAACCGGCACATCAGGGTAAAAAAAAAAATCTTCCCATTTGTTTCCGCCTCCACTGGATGATCGAACCCAAAACCTCAAGACTACGAACCCGAAACGCTGTCCACTCAGCCCTCAGGACTCAAAACACATTCCCAGCACCTTGACACCCAACTCACCCCCACCGACTGACCAATCCAGTACCTCTAATGACCCTCCCTCACACCTTTACCCATTCTCGTTCCGTCACTGCCTTGTTACCTCATCCTGCTCCCCCCCCCCTACACTGCCCCCTGCCCCCCTCCCCTACACTCCCCCCTGCCCCTCAAAACACATTCCCAGCACCTTGACACCCAACTCACCCCCACCGACTGACCAATCCAGTACCTCTAATGACCCTCCCTCACACCTTTACCCATTCTCGTTCCGTCACTGCCTTGTTACCTCATCCTGCCCCGCCTCCCCTACACTCCCCCCTCCCCCCCCCCTGCTACCCTTCACCTTCAGGACGAAACTACCGGTACAAAGGCACTAGGCTTTTACAGTAATTATCAATTTAGGTTTGGCGGGCGTTTGCCATAAGGATCAAGAACAAAGGGCCGGTGGAAGAGCCCACAATATGAGGAGAGACTCGGTCCAAGATGGAGCCATCCACTCGGGGCCAGCACAGTCGAGAGTTCTTGACGGATCTGGCGACTTAATGGACCTTACGAGACGAGGCTCTCGGATCAGGGGCGTCGACGGCTCGTCTCCGGGACCCACTTGGCGCAAGGAAGATTTTTTGACTGATAGTTGATGTAAACACGCCTTAAAAACAATGGGAGATAGGCGCTTCTAGCCCCGAGTTACCTCATAATGAGAGGAGAGGCGGCCTCTCCCTCACAAAGACTCGCCATAGCTCCCCAGCTGCTCCAAAATCACCCCCCTACCCCCACCCCCTACCCCCCCTACCCCCCCCCCCCCCCCTACCTGGGTTATTAAACATTCTCCGCCAGCAATCTCCAGGATTACCTTATTTTCGGGTGTTCGAGCCGCCGGTATAAAAATGAGTTAACTATGAGGGGGGGGGGAGACTTGGATTCGTCATTTATGCGTCGATTTGCGAAACCAGTTCATCTTTTATCCAATCATGACGGTTTTCTTTAGTTACTAGCGTCGAAATTTCGAAATTATTTTTTGTATAATTTCGTTGTTGTTTGGGGGGTTATAAGCTATTATAAGACTAGTAAGGAAAGCCGCCATGATTGTTGAAAGATGTAGAGGCTTCGGAAGCGGTTGTGTGAGTGATTGATGAATCTTGGCGTGATGATGATGAGTGATGAGCGGAGATGCTGGACACACTGACTAAAGCATCCCTCTGTAGAGCTATAGAGCTTTATCTCCAGCTTTACCCTCCCCCTCCCCCCACCCCAGCCTCCCCTCCCTCTCCCCAGTCTCCCCTCCCTCTCCCCAGCCTCCACTCCAGCCTCCCCTCCCTCTCCCCAGTCTCCCCTCCCTCTCCCCAGCCTCCCCTCCCTCTCCCCAGCCTCCCCTCCCTCTCCCCAGCCTCCCCCCTCCCTCTCCCCAGCCTCCCCCTCCCCTCCCTCTCCCCACCCACCAGACCCCCTCCCCCCACCACCTCACCCCCACCCTCCCCACTACACATCACAGTGATATTTACTAAAGTCTGAACTATTAATCAACCAGCGATGTGGCCTCGGTGGCTTGTTTACGATGGTGAAATATATTCCTCGTTAACCATCACCCGGTTGGAGTAATTTACATATTCTACCATTCACATATTCCAGCCTTTAACCTGTATTTCCTTCAGTCCGCGGCGCGGGTCAGCTCGTTGGGGGCCACACACTCGGGCAATTAGCCAGTCAATTCAATTATTTTAAAGAGGAATGGTTACATCTTTATGTAAAAGGGGGGGGGGGAATTATCAACGGAAAGCGTCAATACGACTGTATAGCACTTGGAAGGGGGTTAGGATAAGGATTGGGGATGGGATGTGGGGGGGGGGGGGAAAGGAATGGTGCCCAATCACTTGGACGGTCGGGGATTGATGGTACAGCGATGGTTTTGTTTCATGCAGGTCGGCGTTCAATCCCCGATCGTTCAAGTGGTTGGGCACCAATCCTTTCCTCCCCCCCCCTCCTCGTCCTATGCCAAATCCTTATCCTGACCCCTTCCCATTGTTATGTCATCGTAATGGCTTGGCGCTTTCCCCTGATAAATACATTACCTTCATGTGTAGACTACTACACGTACGTGTATACAGATCTAAGGGGACGTAGTCCTAAGGGCCCGGGTTCGATTCCTTGGCCGAGGAAGAAACAAATAGGTAGAGTTCCTTTCACCTATTTACTGCTCACCTAGCAGTAAATAGGTACCTGGGAGTTTGACAGCTGCCTCAGGCTGCATCCTGTGTGTGTGTGTGTGTGTGTGTGTGTGTACGCGCGCACACACACACACACACACACACACACACACTCACACACTCACACACACACACACACACACACACACACACACACACACACACACACACACACACACACACACACTTCCCGTATTATTGCTGTCAAGTGGACTTTAAACCGTGCTGGCGCAGTCCTGTTTACACATTAAACAGCACGCTGTTGCCACTGAAATTAAGACCTTATCACACCCCATCCCCAAGACACATTTTCTTTTGAAACATTCTAACTACCTTGTTCGCTTCGCTAACAGCCGCAACCCCCCCCCCCCCCCCCGTCAGTAAACACGTGGAGGTGGTTATACCAGCTGGTGGTGGTTATACCAGCTGGTGGTGGTTATACCAGCTGGTGGTGGTTAGACCAAGTAGAGGACAGGCAGGGGTACCAACCCCGGGCGCGGGCAAGAAACATCCACTTCAAAAGAGTCGATAACTGACTCTCCAGATGACAGATGGTCGAGCCAGGGAACCACCTGTGGGGCGAGGCGCACCACCTGTGGATAGGCGTCAGAGAAACGGCACCTCTATAGAGGCCACACGTCACCAAGAGAGACCCACACGTCACTCAGAGACCCACACGTCACCAAGAGAGACCCACACGTCACTCAGAGACCCACACGTCACCAAGAGAGACCCACACGTCACTCAGAGACCCACACGTCACCAAGAGAGACCCACACGTCACTCAGAGACCCACACGTCACCAAGAGAGACCCACACGTCACCAAGAGAGACCCACACGTCACCAAGAGACCCACACGTCACCAAGAGAGACCCACACGTCACCAAGAGACCCACACGTCACCAAGAGAGACCCACACGTCACCAAGAGACCCACACGTCACCAAGAGACACCCACACGTCACCAAGAGAGACCCACACGTCACCAAGAGACACCCACACGCCACCAAGAGAGACCCACACGTCACCAAGAGACCCACACGTCACCAAGAGAGACCCACACGTCACCAAGAGACCCACACGTCACCAAGAGACACCCACACGCCACCAAGAGAGACCCACACGTCACCAAAAGACCCACACGTCACCAAGAGAGACCCACACGTCACCGAGACCCACACACGTCACCAAGAGGGACCCACGTCACCAAAAGAGACCCACACGTCACCAAGAGAGACCCACACGTCACCAAGAGAGACCCACACGTCACCCAGAGACCCACACGTCACCCAGAGACCCACACGTCACCCAGAGACCCACACGTCACCAAGAGACCCACACGTCACCAAGAGAGACCCACACGTCACCAAAAGAGACCCACACGTCACCCAGAGACCCACACGTCACCAAGAGAGACCCACACGTCACCAAAAGAGACCCACACGTCACCAAGAGAGACCCACACGTCACCAAGAGAGACCCACACGTCACCAAGAGAGACCCACACGTCACCAAGAGACCCACACGTCACCAAGAGACCCACACGTCACCAAGAGACCCACACGTCACCAAGAGAGACCCACACGTCACCAAGAGAGACCCACACGTCACCAAGAGAGACCCACACGTCACCAAGAGAGACCCACACGTCACCAAGAGAGACCCACACGTCACCAAGAGAGACCCACACGTCACCAAGAGAGACCCACACGTCACCAAGAGAGACCCACACGTCACCAAAAGAGACCCACACGTCACCAAAAGAGACCCACACGTCACCAAGAGAGACCCACACGTCACCGAGACCCCCACACGTCACCAAGAGAGACCCACACGTCACCAAGAGAGACCCACACGTCACCAAGAGAGACCCACATGTCACCAAGAGAGACCCACACGTCACCAAAAGAGACCCACACGTCACCAAGAGAGACCCACACGTCACCAAGAGAGACCCACACGTCACCAAGAGAGACCCACACGTCACCAAGAGAGACCCACACGTCACCAAGAGAGACCCACACGTCACCAAAAGAGACCCACACGTCACCAAGAGAGACCCACACGTCACCAAGAGAGACCCACACGTCACCAAGAGAGACCCACACGTCACCAAGAGAGACCCACATGTCACCAAGAGAGACCCACACGTCACCAAGAGAGACCCACACGTCACCAAGAGAGACCCACACGTCACCAAGAGACCCACACGTCACCAAGAGAGACCCACACGTCACCAAGAGAGACCCACACGTCACCAAGAGAGACCCACACGTCACCAAGAGAGACCCACACGTCACCAAGAGAGACCCACACGTCACCAAGAGAGACCCACACGTCACCAAAAGAGACCCACACGTCACCAAAAGAGACCCACACGTCACCAAGAGAGACCCACACGTCACCGAGACCCCCACACCTCACCACGAGAGACCCACACGTCACCAAGAGAGACCCACACGTCACCAAGAGAGACCCACATGTCACCAAGAGAGACCCACACGTCACCAACAGAGACCCACACGTCACCAAGAGAGACCCACACGTCACCAAGAGAGACCCACACGTCACCAAGAGAGACCCACACGTCACCAAGAGAGACCCACACGTCACCAAGAGAGACCCACACGTCACCAAAAGAGACCCACACGTCACCAAGAGAGACCCACACGTCACCAAGAGAGACCCACACGTCACCAAGAGAGACCCACACGTCACCAAGAGAGACCTACATGTCACCAAGAGAGACCCACACGTCACCAAGAGACCCACACGTCACCCAGAGACCCACACGTCACCAAAAGAGACCCACACGTCACCAAGAGAGACCCACACGTCACCAAGAGAGACCCACACGTCACCAAGAGAGACCCACACGTCACCAAAAGAGACCCACACGTCACCAAGAGAGACCCACACGTCACCAAGAGAGACCCACACGTCACCAAGAGAGACCCACACGTCACCAAAAGAGACCCACACGTCACCAAGAGAGACCCACACGTCACCAATAAACATCTCTACTCATTTCAATAAAAAAATGACCATTGTTCTTCTAACTTTGATGTATTTAATTGACAAGTATTTTTGCCATGTTTAATTCATTGTTGTTCATAGCACGGAGTTGATATAAAGATTTTTGTGTCATTTTACCATTTAGATTTGTGGTAGCCAGTCTTGCACCCCCCCAACACCCCCTTCTTCCTCCCCCCCCCCTCTCTTAAGAGCTCTTACGCTCTTAAGAGTTCTTACATTCTCGTAAAGCCACTAGGAGTCACAGTGTTTGGGGCAGGTTCTTAATTGTATTTTGTATACTGTTGGGTAAACAGAGGCTACAGTTAAGGATTGGTGACCAGTCAATACTCCCCGGCTAGGATACGAACCCAGGTCAAAGCCCTGGCGAAACGCCAGGCGAGTGGCTTACCACTACGCCACGGGGAGTGCATGCAGATCTCTTTCTCTCTCTACACCGTCACACACACACACACACACACACACACACACACACACACACACACACACACACACACACACACACACACACACACACACACACACACACACACACGATGTATTACAGTGTACTTTGAAAAGGTTTCAATGCATCGGTGGGTTAGGTGGGTTGCTTAGGTTAGGTTAGCCGGGTTGCTTGGGCTACGTTAGCCGGCTTGCTTGGGCTACGTTAGCCGGGTTGCTTGGGCTACGTTAGCCGGGTTGCTTGGGCTACACATGTGACAAAGGTACCCTCTAGTAGGCTACATCTCTGCATAACAAACAAAACAAAACAAAACAGGAAAAAGGAGGAAAAAAACGGAGACTTGTGAGACACTTGATAAACGAGAATATGCAAAACAGGTCTCAAAATTGTGGGTGAAAATACCGACGGTCTTGTGTTTCTTGACCTCCAGATGTCGCTAGTGGTGACGGGAGGAGGGAGGGACAGGGAGAGACAGGGAGAGACAGGGAGAGGGACAGGGAGAGACAGGGAGAGGGGGACAGGGAGATAGCAGGAGAGGGAGACAGAGATAGAAGGAGAGGGAGACAGGGAGATAGCAGGAGAGGGAGACAGAGATAGAAGGAGAGGGAGACAGGGAGATAGAAGGAGAGGGAGACAGGGAGATAGAAGGAGAGGGAGACAGGGAGATAGAAGGAGAGGGAGACAGGGAGATAGAAGGAAAGGGGAACATTGTATAAACAGTAAACACAACAAACCTGGTGGCCTAGGAGCGTGAGGCCTGGATACATAAGAAACCTCCTCCTAATCTCCGGACCACACCTTCCTCTTAACCTAAAATTGATGTCTGCTACACTTTGGCTTTGCCCTCTTCCCTCTACTGCCCCCCCTCCCCCTTTCCTTCCCCTCCTCCTTTCCCACGCGTCTCAACTACCTGTTCCCACAACCTCCCCCTCTTCCTCCGGCACCTGTCCCCTCCCATCCGCCACTTCGAAAATAAAATCCTCCCACCATAACCCCCCTTTATCCACCGTTAACCCCTCCCCCCCTCCCCCTCCCCCTCCCCCCTCCCCTAACACACTCTTCCATACTGTAACCACCAATAAGCCCCCCTCCCCCTCCCCCTCCCCCCTCCCCTAACACACTCTTCCATACTGTAACCACCAATAAGCCCCCCTCCCCCCCCTACTCTCAGACAAACCACGGGCTCGATATTCTAAATCCCAACCGCTTCTCCCCCCGCACTGGAGGGCGGCTCTTGTGATTGATGGAGTAATACCCGGGATACACAGACTGACGGAACAATTCTCCAGCACACCTGGTCCAGGCCGGCCGCCACCACCTCCCCCCGGCCGCCACACCACAGCCGCCACACCACACTACACCTGGTCTAGGCCGGCCGCCACCACCTCCCCCCGGCCGCCACACCACAGCCGCCACACCACACTACACCTGGTCTAGGCCGGCCGCCATCATCGCTACACCTGCTCCAAGCTAGCCCGCCATCATCGCTACACCTGCTCCAAGCTGGCCCGCCATCATCGCTACACCTGCTCCAAGCTGGCCCGCCATCATCGCTACACCTGCTCCAAGCTGGCCCGCCATCATCGCTACACCTGCTCCAAGCTGTCCCGCCATCATCACTACACCTGCTCCAAGCTGGCCCGCCACACCACACTACACCTGCTCCAAGCTGGCCCGCCACACCACACTACACCTGCTCCAAGCTGGGCCGCCATCATCACTACACCACTCACTGTAGTCCCTCATGTGCAGAACACTTTGCCACTTTCCTCAAGCCCACCATATCCGATCCCAGTCCCCTACTCTCACCACTCAGCGGACCCGACGAGGTCAAAGAAACCTGTGAGAATATAATAGAAGAGAACGTCTTCTATTGTGTATGGATGGGATTGCAAGTCAACCTGCGGAGCGATCATGTAAGAAAACCAAGATGTAATTGTACTCACAGAAACTAAACTAACAAAAGTCCTAAAATGCAGTGGTTCTTTAAGGGATAGAGAAATTTTCAATGCAGCAACCAGAACAACCACACTACCTCAAAATTAGCCGCCACGAAACACCATATCCTGGCTGCTTGTCACCTCCCTACCAACCCAACCCTACCACACCTGATTTACCACACCTACCACACCTGATTTAAATAGTTAAATCTACAACAGTTTGTATGAATGAAGTGTACAGAAAACGCCATAAACAAAGGCATCCCATGAAGTAATCAACATAAATGGGCCAATAGATTGAAACAAATATACTCTACATTCCTTCAGTTGTGGCGGCCAGAGAGAGGGGAGCGGGGCTCCTACTCTGAGATAGGGAAGTGGAGAAAGATCTGCGCGTCGCAGTCTTGAAACAGAATGTTTTAAACAGAATTCAGTACTGCTTGCTTTGTCACCCTACCTGTCACCTTAGTACAGCTTGTCACCCTACCTGTCACCTTAGTACTGCTTGTCACCCTGCCTGTCACCTTAGTACTGCTTGTCCCCCTACCTGTCCCCTTAGTACTGCTTGTCACCCTGTCACCTTAGTACTGCTTGTCACCCTACCTGTCACCTTAGTACTGCTTGTCCCCCTACCTGTCACCTTAGTACTGCTTGTCACCCTACCTGTCCCCTTAGTACTGCATGTCACCCTGTCACCTTAGTACTGCTTGTCACCCTACCTGTCACATTAGTACTGCTTGTCACCCTGCCTGTCACATTAGTACTGCTTGTCACCCTACCTGTCACCTTAGTACTGCTTGTCACCCTACCTGTCACCTTAGTACTGCTTGTCACCCTACCTGTCACCTTAGTACTGCTTGTCACCCTACCTGTCACATTAGTACTGCTTGTCACCCTACCTGTCACCTTAGTACTGCTTGTCCCCCTACCTGTCCCCTTAGTACTGCATGTCACCCTGTCACCTTAGTACTGCTTGTCACCCTACCTGTCACCTTAGTACTGCTTGTCACCCTACCTGTCACATTAGTACTGCTTGTCCCCCTACCTGTCCCCTTAGTACTGCTTGTCCCCCTACCTGTCCCCTAGTACTGCATGTCACCCTGTCACCTTAGTACTGCTAGCCTGTCACCCTGTCCCCTCAGTACTGCCAGCTTGGCTCTGGGGTCTACAATACCTACTGTAGTACCCTTGAAGCTGCTTGAACCTAACTCACGCAAAATTTCACGCAAAAAGAGAAGAGAGGAATGATTAGATTTTGCCTTGATACTTTGACGGGGGAAAATCGGACATTTTAATTAGGGACTCCAGGAAAACCAAATATGCTGATTAAATATGTTCCCTTGGGAGTTTTGCCTGTGGAGGGGGTGAGGGGGCAAGGTGGGGGGTGTTGGGGCAAGGAGGGGGGTGTTGGGGGCTAGGAGGAGGGGGGGGGGGTGTTGGGACAAGGAGGAAGAGGTTAAAACTAAGGTATTTCACAATGGAAATGTTTGGTCATTCCAATGTGTTCATTAGTAGAATGAAACAGGTAGAACACAGTCTATGTCAGCCTCTCCCCACTGGAGCCAAGAGAAAGGGGCCACGCGTATAGTAAACCTTTTCCTGAAGACTTATATAGATTGACGCGGAAGAAATTACAATCTTAAGTAAAGATTTAGGGGAAGGTATAGGGGGCGGCGGGCCCAGGTGGCCTCTCTAGGTATTATTTGTGGTAAGGGTCGTGTGTAGAAGGGACGAAGGCGTTCCAGGAGAAGGCAGCTACACGCCTGCTGGTGCTGCTATAGTTGGCACCTATTTGACCTCACTAACGATGTAACCCCCCACAACCGCTGCCAAACTCGTAGGTACCAATCTGCAGCTAGGTGAATAGGTGAATTAGGTTACCTTGAGGTTACCTTGAGGTGCTTCCGGGGCTTAGCGTCCCCGCGGCCCGGTCGTCGACCAGGCCTCCTGGTTGCTGGACTGATCAACCAGGCAGTTGGACGCGGCTGCTCGCAGCCTGACGTACGAGTCACAGCCTGGTTGATCAGGTATCCTTTGGAGGTGCTTATCCAGTTCTCTCTTGAACACTGTGAGGGGTCGGCGAGTTATGCCCCTTATGTGTAGTGGAAGCGTGTTGAACAGTCTCGGGCCTCTGATGTTGATAGAGTTCTCTCTCAGAGTACCAGTTGCACCTCTGTTTTTCAACGGGGGTATTCTGCACATCCTGCCATGTCTTCTGGTCTCATGTGATGTTATTTCTGTGTGCAGGTTTGGGACCAGCCCCTCTAATATTTTCCACGTGTAAATTATTATGTACCTCTCCCGCCTGCGCTCAAGGGAGTACAGTTTTAGGCTCTTTAGTCGGTCCCAATAGTTTAGATGTTTTACTGAGTGGATTCTAGCAGTAAAGGATCTCTGCACGCTCTCCAGGTCAGCAATTTCTCCAGCTTTGAAAGGTGCTGTCATTGTGCAGCAGTACTCCACTCTAGAGAGCACAAGCGTTTTGAAAAGTATCATCATCGGTATAGCATCTCTAGTGTGAAAAGTTCTTGTTATCCAACCTGTCATTTTTCTTGCAGTTGTGACGGCTACTTTATTGTGTTCTTTAAAGGTAAGGTCTTCCGACATGAGTACACCCAGATCCTTTACATTGCCTTTTCGTTCTATGTTATGATTTGCCTGAGTTAGGTGAGAGGAAACGTG